CCCCAAAACCCCAAAACCCCAAAACCCCAAAACCCCTAACTTTGAACCTTAAATTGAAAGTGATACTTAATAAAAATATATTATTCTAATGGCAGTATGGGGTAAAATTCTTAACAAGCCTAAATACCTGACAGTTTATGATGCAATAGTAGTTTGAGTGATAACAATGCTCATGTTCATGATCTTTGCTTCCTACCAAATACAATCATTAGTAATCGTAATATTACTGACCTTGAAAATGCTGCTTGGACTAGCATTTATAAAAGCAGAGAAAACTAAGTGGATTAAGGTGTACTTCTATGCAAGACTATTATATGATATTGTAATCATTTGATTTTACTGACTCATTGCTGTGGGATCACGAATTTTTGGAGCTCTAAATGCAACAGTTGCTCTCATCTTTATTGCAGCAAGCGAAGGGATACTGTATAGCTTTATTTTTCATTATTTGAAATCAAAAGAGACCAAAACTTTCATTCCAGAGCTTTTAGAGATAGAAACTGCTAAATAGAAAACTTCAGAACTTTTATGATCTTGCAAACTTAGAGAGAAGTGAAATTAGGGACATCAACTCTAGTAGTGCTGAGATGAACCCTCTTCAAAGAATGATTAAAAATAATGATAGAGAAAGAGAAATTGATATTGAACAGCGATTTCAATTTCGGAAGTTGCCAGTGTATCATAAAGAGACTAATACTGCACAAAGGAATCATCCTTCTCGTAATGAACTTGATTCAATATTAGATCAATATAACACAAGCAGCGATAATCTACAGATGCCTGCTTCTAGAGTAAGTTTTGATTCTAGAGCAAGAGCTGATTTTGCAATTCAGAACCATGATATTAGTGATAAGAATTTTCAGTCAATTTCAAATATTCCTGAAGAAAAAAACCCTTCTAGCTTAATAATGGTGGACGTTTTCCAAAGATTTCGAGATCAACCTAAAGTTACTCGGGAACTTCCTAGTCTCAAAAATAACGAATCGCCTTCAATTAAAAAGGGGAAAAAGGTTGATCCTTCCAAGAATAGGAGGAAAATTGACGAGACTATTTTATCTACATTTGAAGATAAGAGGAAACGTTCGAGATCTCACAACACACATTCTAAAGTATTAGATTTAGGAGAGAAGTACACTAAATATTTGATCAATAAAGGAGTGATATATAGTAAGACCCATACAGGAGCTTTTGTCTTGATACCAAACCTGCCTTCCCTTCACAGACCAAGCCATTTGAGGGATAACTTTATGGACTCAGTATAAAAGTACACCCGAAATTATGCTAGAGAATGTTTGTGAAATGTTGACTAATTCAGTGAAATTATAGTCAACGGCGATCTTCAAATCAAGAATATAGAATTATCACTATTTCAATCTAAAATTGACCTCAAGGGGTTTTGGGGTTTTGGGGTTTTGGGGTTTTGGGG